CTCCCTGTCTCTCTCTCTCCCTCTCTCTCCCTGTCTCTTTCTCTCCCTCTCTCTCCCTCTCTCCTTCTCTCTCCCTGTCTCTTTCTCTCCCTCCCACTCTCTCTCTGTTTACATACCTGCAGCACACAAAGGAGGCTGAATTGGCGGTCACATTTTTTTAAAATCATTATAGCTTTTAAATTGTTTGTGTTCCCTTTGTTCTCCTCCTCCTGTAAAATTTTGAGGCACTGTATCTATCTAGAGCAGTATTATCACTCTGCAAAGCAATTGCCTCTATATGAGATTGTGCTCTTTAAATAAACTGTTAAAAAAAATAAGAATAACATAACCTACGAGTATTTCTTAGGAAAAATGGAAGAAAACTTGCTTCTTAATCAGTTAATCAATTTATTTTAAGGTTTTTGACTGAATAACTTTTTAGGTATACATTTCTAGCCTGTATTTGTGCTTATAGCCTAGCTGTGGCTGACTGCAAAACCTTCATAGTATAAAGTTTTGTCACTTTTCACTTCACTTATGATAAACTTAAAATGCCCATGATGAATAGTCTAAATCTTTGATTTAATTTTTAATGTTGTGTTTTATAGCAAGTGGAACAGTAAATTTCCTAATACCCATTGCCTATTCTTTCAAAAAGATCATCTAATAAACTATATTCAGTCACATTTGTAACAGAATATTTCTAACACATTTCTTTCAGTTTCAAGATGAAAAATTTTATTTTAACAATATGACACAAAAACCTTTTAATACCTTTAGATATGAAACAAAGTGGACACACTGCTCATGATTTTTTCCCCATTTCTGACATCGTGTTTTGAAATAAAAAAAAAAGGTCAAGGCTCTTCCGTATGAAGTTTGTTTGCATTTTAGATTTTCTGTTACAACATACATCTGATGGAATGATCATATCTACACAACCAAGATAAGCAACATTTTGTCAGTGTACAACAATAGAAACAGAGCAAATGATTTGATGTAATATTAATTACTATCTCTATATTATCTCATATGATTTGTGACACTTGAAAATACAATACTATACAATTCATTTTTCAAATGTGTTCATTATAGACTCCAAATCCACATGGAGATTTAACTATGTTTATCAACGTATTTCTAAGTACATAAATGTCACTCACATATAATTATATAACACAATATTTACATGATTTTTGAAAAATAAAAACATAGATTCGTATTATAAAAGGAAATGTGAAAAAAACAATTTAAATAAGTCTCAGGATGGATAAAAAAGAAGCTAAAAACAGGGCATGCACTGACATCCTTCAGATTACATAACAATTAAATTAAAAAATACATTTAAATAAAGTAGTGATAAGATGCCTATGATAAAAACATTAGTACAGATGATTTTGAATGTAGCATTTTGTATCTCAGGCTTGTACTAGAAAACGGTCTCCAGTTTTGTAAACGTTACATTTTGTAAGGACAGGAGGAAATGTTGACAGTTTTCAAGATTTTCACAATAACAAGTTCCCACCCAACTGTCATTTCTAACGCACCTGTAACAAAAAGCTATGTAATGTCCATCAGGCATAGCAAAACTAGTGGCACTTCTCAGTAATTGTTGGTTTCAAAGTGACCTTTTTCCCCCCAAAAAATATCAAAATACTCTGAGGTGACCAGATTTCTTGTGTTGGTGGAAAGCTTCTCTGCTCACACGGCAAACACAGGGTCTTCTCCTAAAAGTCTTGCTCTTATGAATACTGAGGTAAAGAGGAGAATACTGAGTTGTTGGGACAAAGGTCCTGACTTGTCTGAGTGGTTGTTGGCACCACTTAAGGCCTCAGGTTGGCTTCTGTCTGTAGTCTGTGATGGCCTTCCATAGTTTACACAGGATCCCGCCTCTGATAAGACAGAGAGAAAAGACTGTTAGGTTACAAAATATAATGCACCGTATGTTTGTTACTAGTAATACTGTAATGCATAATGTTATCTGTAATAACACCGTTAAACACATGTTTACATTGTTTCTCTTGTCCTGAGAGTCAGAAAGCACTTCCTGTACATTTATGTATGTGGAAAACATCATTATCTGTAAATTCACGTTACATGAAGCAAGGTTTTTAACAACAAGATTTCTGTATGGCTTATCACATTTTTAATAGAATGCAATTTAATACCTGTTTCATGGTCAAACCGAAGTATGAATATTTCAAATATATTATATACAGAAACACAAGATTTTTGCTAAAATGTACACGTTATGAGTCGTTGAGCTTCATAGCTGCTGCAGCAAACAGTGGTGACAATGTTTGTTATTTGTCTCCACAAAATGGCTTGAGCAACCTCCTGTGCACAAAATTCACTGTCGCACCGGTCTCACTTGTGGTTTATAAGTATATATCTCCTGAGAAGAACCGCAATGGGTAACCAGTATGCAACTTATACATGTGTGATGTAGAAACCTGAAGCCACCAGTACACATACACAGAGAATGGACTTTACAGTGAAGTAGGAGACATCTTGTGTTCAGCAGGATAACTTTAGAAATGAAAAAAATTACCATATTACGTAACATTTTTAATGAGGTAGAATGACGACATGACTTTTTAAGGATTTTAATGTGGAAATTAAATTTTTTGGTGGAAATTATTGTTCCAAGCAGACTCTTTGTATTATGGAGAGTATTAAAAAGTCATAAATGTAATTTATATAAATTTAAAGATCCCCTCCAGACGTGTAAAATTAAATGCTTTCAAATAATTTTTCAATAGATGCCCTGAAGAAATTGTCAGTGTTAATAGACTCATTGTGTATTGCTTTTTTGCCATGCATTGTTTGATATTACCACTGGGGGACACCAAAGGCAGAAATGTACAAATCCTACACACACACACAGTAACAGCTTGAAGATTGTGTATCAATAATGACTTTTGAAGTGATTCTCTCTTGTGTGAACATGACATACTATCAGCTGTTATGCTGCCACAAATGGGATCATTTTAAAATGGAGATGAATACTGCAGTAGTAGTAGTAGTAGGCAGCTAATAAAGACACAGATGTGAGTGTGACTACTTGACTAATCAACCACAGCTGGAAAGAATTTCAGAACCTGTGAGCAGTTTCACACTCCTTGCTCAGGCCACCTCATAGGATTTCTGTTCTGTGAAATGTTAGTTAATTTAAGCTCCTGCTGCCACCAAGAATCTACAGTAAGAACAATAAATGAGCACAAAGAAAAGGTTTTCACAGCTTCACTTCTGTGTTTCTGGTATCCGGAGAGCTGCAGTGCTTTTTAGACGTGAGAGTCAGCATGTTTTTTTGAGGGACTAAATACTGAATACAGAAGTGAAACTGTCACCAGTCATCTTGAAAAGACAAAATAAAGGTTTACTACCTCAGTCTTAAACTCTTCAGATCGTCTCTTGTTACATCATTGAGGATGTCGTTTAATGTGTACGCCTCATTCAGTATCTAGAGAAACAAAATGCATGACATGAGGACTGAAAACAAGCACCTGTACTTAAACAAACTATACAGTTACATGATATTTTACCATTGTGCTTTCGCATTGTACAATTACTTTATATTGGCTTTTATTTCATGGTTTAATCTAGTTGCAAAGAACCTAGTAACATTGTCTTAAAAAGGGCGTTATGAAAAAAGCCTTTCTCTTCTCCGTGGAATACAGAAACAACGACAAACATCAGCTCTAATATCTCATAATAATCAAGTTTGTACTGTATAATCTGGTGCTGTCACTGTGTGACGTCAACCAATAGACAAGGTCCAGCTCCAGCTGGGACTCACTCTGTCTATGGAGTCCTGGTCAGCACCATAAAGCCTCAGCCAGCTGGTCAGATTTGGGTCTTCATGTCTCTCTGAAGGTGAACTCCTTTGTTCCTCTGGACCATCTGATGATGAGGGGACATCTGCCAGAGAACACAGTGAACTCCTTTAAACACACGGGACCCATACAGCCGACATTTGCACAGGAAAAAAACTGAGTGCAGGAAAATACTTAAAGTATTAAAAGTGAATGTAGTCAGTGCAGAAAAATGCTATCAGATTGTAGTTGTTTAATCTTGGTTCAGTATCAGGCTCAAAGTCCAGTAATGACTGAGCTTCACTTTGCCACATAAAAAAGATGGCAGCACATATAAGGATATATGATATCTGAGAAGTGATGTAAAATGTTTGCACAAAGAGTTTTAAAGGACCATCGCTTCAAGAAACATCAATGAGAAAGACAGGGTGCATATATTGTGTAATATCGTGTGTTTTCAAACAGGAATCTCAGATCAGATCAACTAATTAGAATTAAAATTCACAATTTCCACCTCCAGTAGATGAGAAAGCTTTGTTCGTGAGCGTTGGTCATGTCCCAACTTGTATAAATTATTTAATGAGCTGGAGGGAAATCAGCCTGATGCAACCTCACTGAATTTTGGATATTTCTCTGCACTTTTAATTACACTGTAAATTTTATGCATTACAGATCAGCTGTGAATCTCCTCAAACAGCCACAGCTGGTTGTACAATGTAAAGGAAGCCTGGTAATAGTAGCAGCAGAAGTGGTGCTAGTACTACCTGCGGGCTCAGATCGCAGCCT